CCTGCCCCCTGGGTCCCGCAGGTCAGCTCCCCCTAAGCCACCGCTAAAGGGACAAAACTCCAGACACCGGCGATCGTCACAGACAAGTTCCCGAAGAACTGAGGCGAGACACGAGCCCCCGTCACAGCCTGCGCGGGGCTATCAGTCGTTGCTGACAAATTCTCCCCCGGCTCTTTGAAAACCACCTGGGGGCCTGGAAACCGCACCAGCTCGAGCTTTCCGAGGCGGGGACTCGCCGGGGAAGTCTCCCTCGGCCCCTTCCCGGCAGGGGCGCCCGCGCGAATCCCGGTGCCCAGCCCGCAGAGGGTTTCTGCAAGAAGTCCTTCACTTCCCGGCTCCCGCCAGTCACCTCCCTCGGGGTCACACCCCTTGGGAAAGGCTCTGGGCCACCCCTGTCCAGGCCACCAGGTACTTCCCAGGGCGCCAGGTCCTGCCTCGGCCTCTCCCCAGCCGTGGGCACAGGGGCGGCTGACCGCCTCGCTCCTCTCCTGGGGCCCCTGAGGGCCCCTGGAGGCTGCAGCGAGAGGCTGCCCTGGCAGGTTTCTGCCCCTCCGCTGAAGCCAGAGGCGCTCTCCAGCGCCCGCTGGGAGGGGGCAGCGTCAGAGGGGGGACCCACAGCCCTTCTGGGGAGTTCCAGCCGTCTTGGGATACCCGGGCCGAGGCAGGGGCCCCAGTTGAAGGCTCCTGGAGTACCGGGTTTAGGGCCCCAGTCGCTGCGGCTCCCTCCAGGGGCCAAGGCTGGGGTGGGGCGGGGACGCAATGTCCCAGGAAGGGGGGCCGGTGGGGATGCTCAGGGCTCCCCCCACCGCTGCAGCTTCTGACTATCCTGCCTGAGTACCCCAGGGCTCCCAATACCAGTGGCCACTGGGGGTGATGTGGCCCTGGGCCTCAGGGGAGGCTGTGGCTGGGGGCGTCTTCTCCCCACATCAGCCCACCCTCCACTGGGAAAAAAATCAGTAACTGCGGCTGGGGGGGCAGAAGCCAGGGTCGGGGGTGCTGGGCTAGGTCAGCCACTTTCTGAGTAGTCAGCAGAAAGGCCAGGAGGGAGGCACCAGACCCACCTTCGAGGGACCTCAGGGCACCCCGCCCCCTGCAGTGCTGGGGAGCTGAGCTTGGCTCGCACCACCTCACAGCAGTCCTGTGCACCCTCCTCCCCAAAGCTGGTGCCCGCCGCAGCGAGAACTCCACGGTGGGACACAGGGTGTCGGCCGCGGGCGGTGGGGTGGTGCGCATGGGTGGTGGAGGCTCAGCCCTGCCAGCTGAGTGATGGCCAGTGGGGTCCCACGTCGCCCCTGGCGGCCCGGAGGCTGCAGCGGCCACTCTCCTCCCCGAGCCCCACTGGATCGCTGCGGAAACACCCACTGGAAACAGACTTTCCAGGGGGCTTTCTATGGAGGCGGGTGGGGTGCTGGGAAGTTCAGCAGTGCCCTGGCCGCGGGAATGTCCAGCGCAAGGTCACCGCTGCCGAGCCGAAGGCGCCAACAGTCTGGGCTGCTCCTAGCCCCTGGGAAGAGGGTGACTGGGGTGACTGCGCTTCCCGCCCGACTGGGGCCAGCTGGGGACCCTTGCCCTCTGCCACCCAGCTGTCCCACCAGAGAGCTCACCCGCTGGGCTGTTGAGGGTGGTGGTGGTGGTGGGAGGACAGAAGCCACAGGAGGAGAGAAACAGCAGTCTGTGAATCCCACCCGGGACTCGGCCTCCCCCAGCTTGTGCGCATGGGAGCGCCCAGGCCGCAGCCCCGTGCCTGCACCCCCAGGCATACCCTCCCACCACCCCTTTCTGACCATCTCCAGCTTGTGCCTTTTCCCAGTGCCACTGCGGCAGACTGCCCCCTCTCTGATGACATCGTGTGAGAACCCTCCCACCCCCCAACCTGGGGGGGGCCTCGGCCTTCGACCCCACCCCCGCCTCTGCAGGGTGGCCCCGGCCTCGAGCACCATGAGGTGGTGAAGTGGTGGACAGTCACCGAGTGTCTGAAACTCCAGGCTCCAGGCTGCTCCCGGGTTCCTGGGAGAACGCAGCCCCGCGCGGGCTGCAGGGGTCCCCCCCCCCCCCCAACCCCCCCCCCCCCCCCCGCGGCTCGCTCGAGGCCCCGCGTGTCCCCACCCTGCGTTCTGGGACACGTGTCAGGGCGGAGCGGAGCCCCGGGCGGGCGGCTCTTCGCCCGGCCCCTCGCTCGGGCTACTCTCGCCGGCTCCTGCTCTTTTCCTTTCTCCACCGACGCCCAGCCAAGGGATTGCGCAAGCTTCCTGCTCAGGATCCTTCGAGGGCCCACGCCGGGGCCCCAGACACACCCCAGGCAGGCGCGCCCTCATCCGCCGGCCGCCGGGGCCGCCCTGCCTCCTGCCCAGGTCCCCTCACCCGGCCCCCTGGAGCTGGCGGCCTCGGGGGTGGCGCCCGCGGAGGCCGCGTGGGGCGCAGGAGTTCCCCCGCCGCGCGGCGGGGGCTGCCGCGACTCCCTGGAACGCGCCGGCTGGCCACCGGAGGTGCTAAACTTCACACTGGCCATCGCGGGCCCTGTCGGGAGGGCCAGGCTCGCCGCCTTTCCGGGGCCAGGGGACACGAAGTCAAAAGGAACGCTGGACTGGGCTGGGCTGCCGCCGGCCATGCGAGCCGCCCCTCGCTGCTCCGCCCGTTCTGCACTTCCTCTCGGCTCCCCGCTCCCTCTTTCGACGCCCTTCCCGGGGCGCCACCGCCCCCAGCCGAGCGGGACAGCCCCGTCTGCGTCCTCGCCGCCTCTCGCCCTGCTCGGCCGCGGAAGGAGCCGGAGAGGGCGGCTGGCCGGAGCCCCTCCTGGCCCCGCCCGGCCGCCGAATTGGGGGTCAAGGGGAAACCGGGCGGCGGGCACGACCCGGGAGGTCGGC